TCCATGATGATAGATAGACCTCTAATTCAGTTGTAAAGTTCCCATACCTGGTAACAATGTATCAGTCGGATAATTAAAACTCTCCCATAGAAAGTTCACTGGGTCATCATCATTTGCATCTTTCACGACGAGGTTTCCCGAGTCCAGCAATTTTACAACTGCAGTTTTCACAGGTCGTGATGTATTCGAAGACCATATGATGACACCATTAGTGTCTTTTAGAAGAACTAGAAGTCCTGGTTCGATAACCTTCAAGACTCCAGATTTATTTGTGAGGGGAATTTCTCTGTTGGCAACCCATACCACGGTCTTAGCTGGTATTTCCTTGTACCACATGCCCACGTATCGATTATTGGAATTTTCTGGGCTAAAAAATCCCAATTCAAAGCTTACGCCTTTTAGATGATTTTATTGGACTATGATAGTAGAGTACACTCTTATGAGATAAAATAAGTATTTGATACTTTTCTCAGTATAATTTATATTTCTCTCAATATTTTGAGAGACGCAACTCTGCTAGTAGTCCCAAAAGGCCGGCTCCTCCTGAATTCTACCCCTTAAAAAAGATCAAAATCAGTGATGGATGTGGATTGGAAAGCCAGGTGAACGCGGAGTTGTTAATATGTTTCTCAACAAGGTGATGTAGGCGGTCCTGGGAATGAAAGTCCATTCCCTCGTGCTCTGGAACTCGGTTGAACAAAAAAGGTTCAATCTTGTGAAACCGTAGCATAGGCGAAACCTGGCAGCCCGCCCACACGTTCGCTTCCAGGACGTCACGCCCGCGCGTTTCCTGACTGTAATGGTTGGGCTTGGCTCTGCTCGCCGGAAGTATGTGAGAGGATCGATGTTAAGCAGAAGTGGATGAAACCAGGGTCTCACCATCTCTAATGATCAGTGTGTTAGTTATAGTATCCGTTTGATTAGAGATTTTCAGGATGAACATAAAAAAGGTGAAGACGAAAAGTAAGGGGAAATATTTATTTCGTATATCCATGGTTCTTGTTCTGCCCCTCATTCACTCTGTTTTTCTTGTTCAATAGATTCATAGGTTGGAAAAAGAAAACAAAACAAAAAATAATAAAAATAATAAAATAAAAAAAAATTCTAAAACGTATATCGACTGAATATATGGTCCAGTGTTCACACCTTTTCTTGACTTGGATTAAATCGTAAGAGGATTGAGAAATTGTCAATACAGTCACGGCAACAATTGGCAAGTCCCAAGTATTATAAGGTGAAGATTATGCTTCAAATATCTATGCATTCTAGAGCAAAAATTGGAAATTAATCCATTATCGTCTCATGAATTTAAAAATTAAGGTCAAATTAAAAAGATCTAATATAGATTCTACTGGGTTGTATACCCATACAGTATATTTTTCTTTGATTATAAAATAATTTTTTATATAATAAACAAACAATGATTTTTTATTTGATATCAAACATTCGAATCGAAGAGTATGTGATCACTTGGGATAATATAAGTTGGGTGCTTATATTGAGAAAGCATAGTATGACACAATTTATATTTTGATTATAAATATTTCGTTCACAACCAAGGTATAAATGTTGATTCCAGTACAGAAATGTTGTACTATTGACTCATTCACTATTCAAGCTTCGCGATTTATCCTTATCGTAGAAATAATTAAAGACGAAACTACTACACTTAGAGTTTATTGAATATACCACAAGTCGAGTTTAATTCTATGGCATAATCGTGCGAGAATTAAATTTGAGTTGATCGTTGTGGAGTTGTGTGTATCTATTTGCGAGTTTAATGATTTTTTAATTCATCAATGGATGAGATCAATTTTATTGACCAAATATTCCGCGAGTTGGTGGATTGAGAATGAGCAAAGCAGATAACATAAATTTATGTCGTGGTCCATAATTAAAAAAGGGTAAAGTGACTACTTAAGTATTTTTTGTCAAACAATTATAAATCTCCTCAATGCTTAGCTACAGCTAAACTTTGACATCTATAAATAGTTCACATGACTATTGAAAATAGTACTTAAGTTAGTCAGAATAATAAGAGGGAGAATATGTGTGTGTGTGTGTGTACATATACTTAAAAAGTGCATGCTTTTATCCTTAGTGGAAAAAATTAAAAATTAATAACTAGATTGAATGGTTTAGAATTGATTAGACAAGATCTGATTATTGGTGTTTTGTTCATATATGTTCGATCAGGTCATATGCAAGCTCGAAAATTTTTCTAGACTCAATTAGAGTTATTTAAAATTTTTTAACTTAATTGTAATTGTGATTAAAGTTCAAGGACTACATGCGAAATTATGTCAAATTATTACCTAAGCTGATATCTATGACAAGGCTTTTGTGCCTATAAATATAGGTACATAAGGGCAAAATTTTTAACAGAAAAGAGAAAACGTTGAAAAAATTATTTTCTTATTTTCTTGATCTTGTCATGGTCAATTCAATCTATAATTCGATTTTTGGTTTAATTAAAAGAAAGAATTCATTTGTCGGTGTAATCATGACTTTAGAGAATACCATAAAAAGTTTGAAAGTTCAAAGCATCAAGAAAACTTGAAGTCCATAATCTAGAGAGTTAGAGATTTCTAATTCAGACCAATTCAAGAATTGAAAATTGAATTTGGGTAAATTCGAATTCTTTGTTTCTTGATTATGAAATATAAATGAACATGTAGTAACGATACTGAATTCTTAAACTAAAAAAATAAATTATTTTGTAGGATAATCCTTGTTCTGCATTCCTAACACATTTTTTCCTTCATTTACATCCCATCATTTTTCATGATAATTAGGGTCAACACCAATTTTATTTTAAAGAAATTGAATTATACTACCAATTAACACATTATTGATTAAATACTGACTAAACACTGGCTCACCTCAAGGAATTTCAGTCAGTTTAAATTCTAGCAAGGTTGAAATCAAGAGCCACCCCAGCAGCCGGGAAGTTGCCTGAACTAAGTCCATGTTTAATTATCATTCTTTTAATACTTTTTTTATAGTCATTTTCAGTTATACAATTTTATAATAAAATATTATTTATGTAAATTTAAAAATTTTCTTACTTTTTACTTTTTAACCATATATTCTTCAAAAATTTGCTATTCAAAAACTCACTCTTTCAATACACATTGTGTCTAACAGAGGCTAAATGTGGATACTGCCGTGTATGGGAGGGAATATTTTGGAAATTTCTCTATTGTTGGTCCACCATTTGGAATTCTACTGTTGGACAGTTAAGCTCATACGAACAGTTTTCAAAGACAACACTGCTTGTTTGCTTGACTTGTCTCGGCTAGGGATGATTGATATCGATATTGACATTACTATGACCCTACTTGGAAGCTTCTATATTTTTCATTCTTAATGCCTTCAAATAAGGACATAAATTAGACTTCATTAACTAGAAGAGTAGTAGAAGGGGTTGATGCGGTGAGTGTTCGATTAATATTTGTACCCAAGCGCTATGCGTATGTTTCGTACTTTGAAGTGAACGTGTTTTCTAAATTCGAATAAGTAATAGGTGCATCAAATTTTAAACAGTTTGTTATTTTATTTATAATATATTTAGTATCTCTTTAATTGTACTCGGGGTTCATTACACTTGTTAATGGAAATAACATTGGCAAGTCTTCCCATTATTTTCTGAACTTTAATTCTTAAAAAAAAAAATCATGAAAATCGGGATCGTTTTTGTATTTTTGAAAACACTTTGCAATGATATGAAGACTTTCAAGAGCTCTTGAACTAATGAGGTAGTATATTCCAGATAAGACATTTGTGGAATCATAAAAGCTTTTCAAATATTTTTTTTTAATTTTTTTTACTTTAAAGGCTAGTCCCAGTCAGTATCAATCAAAACAGAATCATCGGCATTTCTTACATACCTAGAGTTATAAAATTTAACGATTCAATGTTCATAACCTTCACATAATTTTAATAATAAGTAAGTAGAGTTCCATCGATGTCCTACATCAATTATAATTTTTTGGAATCTTGGCCAACTTGTGAACAAAGTTCTTCAAATGCTTGTTTCCTATTTAGAGATATGCTCATATAATTTTCCGCATCCCTAACTCTCTCAATTTGATTCTTAATACGTCATGTAACACCCCGAATTTTAATTATATTTTCATATGGGCTAAATATAATGTTGGTCGTTTAGTAAATGAAATACTCCATGTCCAACCTTCTCAACACAATAAAACTTAAAAGTTGAAGTGATAAATGAGACCCACTTATTTGTATAAACCTTTTATTTTGCTTACGTGTACTTTTTAAAATTTATCGTGAGTTAGTTGGATCAAATATTTAAGTATTTTAGAAGTTGATAAAAATATACCAATATTATACTCATTTTTTAGATCGTGTCAAATAATATAATTTGGACTCAAGAAAAAGTAATTTTGAGCTAGCTATATTGTGTTATTCCAATAGAAAGAAAAAGTATTATCCTCAGATATTTTATTAATATACAATATAAAAATAATAATAAGAAAATGGGACGGTCATATATATGAAAGGGTAATAAAATTAATTTAAACCAAAACATGGCATTCACTTTAAATTGATTTAGAACTCATTAAAATCATTAAGCAATAATTATTAATTTCATTAACCCTCGTTAACATGAAAATGCTTTTTGATTTATGTAAGTTACGTGCATAGTGGAAATATGTGTGTGTGTGTGAGAGAGAGAGAGATGAAATTATTTTTGGCAATGTTCAAAACCCTCATTTGCAACCTTTTTTGAATGTTGCCATAGGTCATTTAATTTAATTTTTTTTTTATTATTATTTTTTTTTTGTTTTTGCAATTTTTTTAATTTGTATAGAAATTTACCAAATCAACGACAAAATAAAAGACTTTTTGGGCTTACATGAAATTGATATAATTTTATTAATCCATACCAAATAGACAAAACACATCATTGTAATAAATCGAAGAAAAATTTTCATTTACATATTGCCCATCAAATAAACATCATCCTAAACTGCTCACTTGTCAGTGGCAAGTTGTGTCCGGAGTTGCTTGGCAACGGCAACCATGTTCTGTCGGGCCGGCTTCACTTCAGTGTACTTACGAGTCTTGAGACCATAGTCGGGGTTAACCCACAAGATGTTGGTTTCGAGCACTGCAAGCATGTTGTTAATTCTGTCAGCAATTTCTTCTGTTGATGGTATTCTGGGCAAGTGGATATCGTAAACACCTGGGTCAATTTCAGCACCATACTTCACTCCCTTGTGGAAAACTAAAAGGAGCTTCTCATCAGAATGAGAGTTCTCAATGGTGATCACATCAGTGTCCATGTCAATAATAGAGTGGGTGATAATATTGAAGTTGGAGTAGCACATGTGGGCGTGGATCTGTTGGAAACGAAGGAATATTATCCCGTCAACAAACAGAAACTATAGCACGTGGTATCGAGGATAAGGAAGTGCAGGGATTTACCTGGGTCATGACCTGAACACCAACATTGGTTATTCTGGAAGAGTGGTTGGCCCAATCCAAGTGGAAAGCATGCTCAAACTTCCTAAGGCGCAAGCCTTCTCTCAATGCAGCCTCGTCAATTCGGGTAACAGTGATGCCTGCCTTCTCGTGATCCTCTACTTCATCCTTAATGGCCAAAGTAATGCAAGAGTAGCCCATGACTTAATTATACATTCCATAGTTGCAACTTAATTTAGTAAGCATTCTTAATTAATGATCACTTAGCAAACACCTTAAGATCAAATTTCAACAATTTTTCTGAATTTTTTTTTTCCAGTAAGTGTAAATGTAAAAACTCAACCAAAAATACATATCATCATATAGGCCAGGCAAACCATATTCTAAGATTTGACACAAAAAGTTTCGTGGAAATGAGGCACCATTTTTGCAACTAAAGAAAATACCATTCAACATTGAATTGTTTTCAACAAGTCTAAATGATGAGGCCTTGCAAGTCAACAAACTGACCATATTAAACCTCCAACATACACAATTTTTGCAGTATTAGGCAGAATAATATTCCAAGTCCAACCCAACAATAAAAATTCTCTTCCCATAACAATCCCAAAATCAGGAACTAAATGAAGATTATAATATGACACAATCCCTCATAGATGATAGTGACTATGCAATCAAACTAACAAGGCAAAATCTCATAGACAAGAATTGCGGATTTTTTAAGGAAAGTGGCTCAAATTGGAGCTTAAATAATTATGAACTAACTAATAACAGATTAAAATACGTCATCAATCCAGAAATGGGTTCAAAAAATAATTGGGACAGATTATTTCCTTATTTAGAGCCTATTGTTTAGAAATTCATAGAACCTACTTTTTAGAAAAATTAGGTAACTTAAAGCTAGGATCCCCAACTTTTCATGTGGTCCCTAACCTTCAATAAGGATGTTTTGAGTCCTAATCTATTTAAATATGTGTATATTGACAGATATAAAATCACACGTAGGTTTTACTTGACTTGGCCCATGTTTGATTCAATTTAAAAAGTTGATAAAATTTAAGTCAAAATCAAAAATTAATTTAATTAAATATTTTATGGAACTCATAACTTTTATCAATTTTTCAACCTCAAATTTCTTCAACTTTATCAAAATGAATCTACGTTAAATGCGATTTTTTTCTAAGCCAAACACGACTTTAAAGTTGGATTTTCTCTAACGATTTTGTTTCCAACTTTCAGGCGATTGCAATTTTAATGTCCACATTGATAGTTTCCATTAAAACTCACAAATCTGCATAGGTCAAGTGTCGAGAAATCATTTTTGAAAGTTCTAAATCCAAAACTACCTTAAATAAAAGGCTAGGGAAAATTTAATTTTTTAAATGTTACCTAAAATTTTAAATTTCACAAAGAAGACATAAGTTGACGATTGTTGTAAAATTTTATCGTATTTATAACACTAGATGATATAGAGAGGCTTTTTTTTTTCTTTTTTTTTTAATTTTAAATATGGATAGGGGGTATTTGATAGGTATTTTTATGTAAAAATGCATTTTAAAATAGTAAATTGATGTGAAATGTGTGGTTGAAAAATAAGAAAATTTTTTTAATTTACGTGTAATATTATCTTAATAAAGAATGTGTGGTTGAAAAGAAGAAAGAGAAAAATACATTTTGAAAAAAATGACTACCAAACGGGGTCATAATGTAGTAATTGTAGAGGTTGGGGATTGAGGGTAGGAGGTTCTTTGCATCGAGACTTTGTGAATATCGGGAATGGGGAAAGAGAGGCGCATGCATAGTGCACATTGTTCCAAAGTGGATTATGGGCATCAACCAAAATGGGCATATAAAAACATTGGATTTTTAGTTAAATTCGTGGAAGAATATGTATGAGGTAAGCAGTGGCAACTTGTCCTAAATATTCAAATTGGCCACGGGTTTGGGTTTCTAGAGAAGGGGAAAATTGGGTAAAGGAATTTTGTAGTCAAGTGGGCAATACTAGGGGCAATTATCAAAATGGTTTCCTGTATTCAAAATGTTCAACTGATAAGCTCCCAGAATTTTGGCTTACTTGTTCAAATATTATTTAAATAAAGTCCCTTTATTTTTATTTTTTTTGCCAATACAGTGGACTCGTCCCCTAGGACTTCTGTTTTATTTTTATTTATTATAAAAGAATTTTTTGATGAAATTATTTAAATTAGTGTTTGAAAATTAATTTTTAAACAAACTTCTCTTTTTGAAGAGCATTTAGAGGAACCGAGGAAGTCATATTAAATTAATTTCTTCTAACACCTCTAACAGCTAAAAGAAACTTTCTTTTATGAAGTTAACAAATGGATACGAAACAATTTTAAGACCTCCTTTTAATGCTCAAAATTCATGGCAAATAGGCCATGTCTACATGACAAAAGTGCGTTGATTATTGTATGGCAAATTTTTAAGTATTTGTTGATCTTTTTATCCAAACTAACGTGGTGACCTAGCTAGTCTTTATATATATGTACACATCAAATCTATTCAGGGTCTGTTTGAGAGCAATTTTTCCTCCCAAAAAATTGATTTTTTGACCGTTATTTCACTATTTCAGCCATTATATTTGACTTCTTCTATCACAGATGGACCCACTTTTTTTAACTATTAAAAAATTAATTCTCAAAATCACTCCCAAACAGGCTCTTACTTGACTAGTTCATTTGTAGATTTACATAATAATGACTTATAGTATTACATATACGATCATTCTTTACTTTGAATCACATAATAGCACATAAAATATTTAACTTAAAATATTAAAAACTAAAAACACAAAATTACTTGGTATTTAGAGAATTTCATACCTATTTGTTGAATTTCTTGTATACTTGAGTTACTTAGGATTAAAACAGATCTCGAACGCGCTGAAAAAAATATACTTTCCTTCTTTTCCTTTTTCTCTCTTCGTTTTTTTCCCCTCTCTTTTTTCTCTCTCTGCTCTTTTCCTCTCTTTCTTCTTCTCTCTCTCCCCCTTTGTTTTTTTTGTAAGTTGGCATCAATTGAATGCATATATATACTAATTAAAAAGTTGTAATAATGGTAATGATCTACAAAGTATTTTAATAGGAGTCTTAATTAGAATTTGAATTGAAATCTCAACAAACAATTTTAACAGAACGAGCTTTGAACACAGAAAAACTCTCATTTTTCATCTGCTTGAATCTCAAAATATCAAAAAACTTCAAACTTCGAAGCCATAATTTTTTTCAGATCAATTACTTCAAATTGGTAAGTATATTTTTACACATGCTTAATTTCGATTTCAGTAAATTAGTGTATTAAATAACACAGTAGTTAGTAGAATTTTTTTTAACAGATCTATAATTTTTTTTTTAGAACCATAGAAAAATAAAAAGTAATACGCAAAATAAACAATCCGACGATTAACTGTGGGATGTTAACAAAAACTATTAGACAACAGACAGCCGACTGTCAAAAGACTGTCTAACAGCCGACTGTTAGCTGTTAGACGACTGTCTAACAGTCGACCGATGGCTATTAGACAGCCGACTGTTAGTCGGCTGTTTCTTATTAACAATCGACTAATAAAGCCGATTGTCGGCTATAAAACAGTCCACAGTCGGCTGTTTTTTCGACTGTTTTACGAATTTTTTTATTATTAATTTCCGTTTTGACAATTGTCTTATAATTTTAATTGCAAGTTGATTAAATATTTGATTTTTTATTGTTGTAATTGATTTAAAAATTCTATATCGTCATGTAGATATGATAATCCCGATCTGTTATTTCGGTGATTTCGAACTAAATGAAAATAATAGATGGGAATAGAGATGGACGAATGATGTATTTGGTTGTATAACAATTCCCATAACAGAGAGTACATCATATGCGGAAGTGTACCAGGATTTGCAAAATAAGCTGAATGTCGATTCTTCTTAGTACGATATGCAACTGAGATATTTATTCAATGGTTATGGGGATTCGTCCAATCCAATGCCATCTATATTTGTTATTAATGATGCTGAATTAAATTATCTATTAGAATTGAATAAAATGTCTAGGACTCCGACTGTTCTTGGTGTGACTTTAGTTAAGAAGAATGTTGTCGAAGGTGAACGCGAAGATTCAGATGGAGCAGATAATAATGACTGAGATTTTTGGGAGACAATGGAGATAGTTCCTGCAGATGATGTGGTTATTCCCGGGATGGTTGCTACTGATCGTGAAGTCACTGTTACGCACAAAATTCCGTGGACAGTTGAGGACAACAAAAATATAAATGATTTTATAAATGAAAATTTAATTACTTTATCCCGACAGAGATCTAAGCGGGGTGGGAGCTCAAGGAGTAGAACAAGTGGACCGTCCTCCAATTCTTGGCGTGTGGCTCTCGATGATGATGATTTATATGTTGAGCAACTATTTAAAACCTAGAAAGATTTGCAGGAAACTGTGCACCGGATGACATTAAAATATAACTTTGAGTTCAAGGTAAAGTAATCAACCAAGTCATTGTTGACAGTTGCCTGCGTTGACGACAATTGCAATTTGCGCTTGAGAGCGACTAAGATGGACACGAATGAGTGCTTTGTAGTTCGCAAATATGCACGGGAACATACTTGCGAAGTGAAAATTTGTCGAAATGATCACAGGCAAGCTCGAGCATGGTTTATTGGTCGACAGATAATGCACAAGTATCGGGATTCACGAACGATCTACAGACCTTCGGACATCATTAACGACGTCCGTCGAGAGAATGGAGTGGTCATGAGCTACCAGAAAGCCTGAAAGGCCAAAAAATTTGCGTTGGAGGATTTAATGGGATCGACTGAAGAGAGCTATGCTAAATTAGCCAGGTATTGCCATAACATGGGGACAACTAATCCTGATACGACATTTTTTATTAAGACGTGGGGCGATAATTGTTTTAAGTATTTATTCATGGCTCTCGGACAATGTATTTGGGGCTTTCGAAATGCAATGCGACCTGTAATTCTAGTTGATGTTACAACTCTGAAAGCTAAATATCAAGACAAATTAATTATTGCTACATGTCAAGACGCCAAAATCCAAATTTACCCTATTGCATTCGGTATAGTCAACAACGAGAATGATTTGTCCATGCGTTTGTTCTTTTCTAAACTGAGGGAAGTGATCGGGAAAGTCTAAGACCTTACCTTTATAACCGATCAGGGACAGTC